ATTGCCCCGGACCTTCCTCTTCCCGGGCTTTATGATTTCTCTCAAGCGAACTCGGATAAGCAGCAAAAAGACGAATCCACGAAAACAAAAAAGATTGCCAAGTATATAAATTGTGAGAATGAGACCAACCGAAATTTGCTACCAGCATCTTTGGTTCTTGCCCATGTTTCTGCGCCAGTGAATGCAACTATTGATGCGAGCTCCATCCATCAACAACTCCCGAAATTTTTGTTCTAAGAAAGGATAAAGAAAAATGCAGAACAGCCCAACAGGAACAGGAAACATCATAAAACGAGAGAAAGGCAAGAAAGGCGGGGGCCGGTATCAACGCTTTCGTAACCACTTCCTTCGTGGCCAGTCATGCCTATCAGGTAGATGTCGATCCAAAATTCAGTATCCCCTTGAGTCCGGTATCTTTCTTCTTCCGCCATCCTTCCTTCTTCTCTTTCCGCTTTTTCTCAAGTTCTTCCCATCCTTCGTCATCGTCATCAGACTCTCCACCCGAGTTCTTGAGATGTGATGGTCCATGTGGTTGCTTGCTCCAATCCTGGCCAGCGCCCGAGACCAGAGTTGCCGTTCGAGTGTTGGCGGGGCTGGCAGCAGCAGCGGGGTTGTACGATACAGGTCTGTATCTCGACGGCTGTCCGACAGTGCTTCGTTCCGACGGGGCAATGGAAGGTGTATAGCCCTGGGGTGGCTGTAAAGATCCCATCATTGGCCCTCGCTGGCTAGGAGCTATTGATGGAGTGTAGGACTGTCGTCCCGGCTGTTGAAAGGGCATGTTTGGGTGTTCCATCATACTCATGGTCCGCTGATGCTGCCCGCCAAGAGAAAATGCGCCAGTCGAGGTGGGCCCAGCCATACTCATTGGGCGCTGGCCCGGCATTGGAGGTAATAGCATTTGCTGTTGTTGCTGCTGTTGGCCTTGCATCTGCATCTGCATCCACTGCATCTGCATGCTCATCATTTGTTGCATTTGATTAGCCATCTGCATTTGCATAGCGTCACCTTGGCCAGCCGGAGCAGCGCCTGGCCCCATCATAGGCATCCCAGGTGCCCCGACCATACCCATATTCACACCGCCGCCCGTGCCCATCTGTCCCGTGGGGCCCGGGTTTCCACCTATACCCATCATCCCAGAATTGCCATGTTGTGAGCCGCCGCCCAAACCCAACAATCCACCACCAGGCGATACAGGTCTGAAGGGGTCTGTCTGAAAGGGGGTTCTCTGCGTAGGGAATGCCATTGAAGCAACACCGCCTTTTCTCGCGGCCTTTGCCTCCTCAGTTCTCACGATTTCACCTATCAATCCACCAGGGCGTCGAGGGCCAGGCATCTCCGGAGGACCTCCATGGGCTAACCCAGACGCAGATCCAGACATGCCCCCCACACCATATGCCATTGACATCCTGGTTGTAGGGTGTAATATACTTGCCCCAAGGTTGTAAGGATCTTGGGGTAGGGCTCGAGCGAATGGCGGCAATCTAGGATCTTGCTGATCTTGAGCCGCTTGTCGGAGATTAGGCTGTGAACTAGAATTGGAGAGCCGGGTTGGTGGCCTGTTTTTGTTCGGAAAACCATGGGCCATCAAAATTCCCAACGGAATCTCCTCGTCCTCTTCTTCCTCTTCTTTTTCACTAGAACCACCAGGTCCGGAAAGGCTCAACTGTGGCATCGAGGTATTCAAGGGTAGAGCCGATGTACTCATTGAAGCACCTCTTGAGTTCATACCAAGCGGCTGCTCGGCGGGCTGAGATCCTGTAATTTTCATCATCTGCTGTCGATAGACAGCAAGATGTGCTTCTTGTTTCTGTCGCTGTTTTGCGGCCTCACGATTTCTTTCTGCCTCTGACTCTTCTTCGGATTCTGAGCTATCATTTTCGTCGTAGTCATCAGGGTCAGCTTGGTTCCCAGACAACCTACGCTGTTCATCCTGCTGTTGGCGATAGCGTTCGAATTGCGCTGGTGTCATAACCTTGTTCTGTGGAGGTTTGGTGGCTTCGTTCTCCTGATACTTTACGGCCAGGGCAGCTGAAGCGGAGATGGACGAATCAAAATCGATATCATTGCCATCACTCAATTGAACTGAAAATCCAGTTCCCGATTTTTCGACCCGATGTGTGGCATCGACCTTTGCGTAATCAGTATTGGTGTGTCTCCCTGAAGCCGCAGGGCTGGTTCCCTGATTATCACGCAACGCAGCAGACGAGCCTTCTCCGGGGCAGCTGTTGGGCGAAGACGATCCAGAAGCTACGCCTTCATCCCAACCGCTATCTCTATCCTTGACTCCACCCGTTAAACCCTTGGCTGAGCCAACCAATAGGGGAGTCGAACTAGACTTTTGGGGTTGAGGACGTCCATGAAGTTGAGATTGCTGGTGTTTGTGAGAGGCAACGGTTTGCGCAACCAGCGCAGCATCCTCGTCTTCTGGGAAAGATTGTCGACGCATGATTGCACTGGTCCGCTTCAACCCTAGAGAATCACCACTTCCGCCTCTTGGAGTGTGCTGCTTAGGTCCCCTACTCTGCCGTGCAGATGGTGTAGTTAACGAGTCTGCATACGAATGACTGGGTGTTGGTAGACTTTGACCAGGGGTAAGGTTCCGCGAATTACGCGGAGAGTTATTACTCGCGGCCGGCATCGCCGGAGTAATAAGTTCGTCCGAATCTTTGGCGTCCCAACCATAGGGAGAGTATTCATTAGCCCCAGGTCGATCGCCGTCCATATGGGAGGGATTTGCGTAGATATTGCTGTATGCGGCGTAGGGAAATCGTGATGCAGTCGGCGAAGTGGCTGGATTGTACGACCTCGGAGGCGGTACTGGGGGGATGTCATTGTGGTTATCGCTCTGTAACTCAATGTCAGCCCTCTGGCGAAAAAACAAAAGGTTTTACATCGATGTCATTACGGTGTTGATGATGCTGCTGGACGCCAATTTTGGTGCTGTGTGACCCATTCCACTGCTGCTTTCCGGACGAACCGTTGCTTTAGATGCTGTGAAGGAGAACATGTCTTCTCCGAACAGAGAAGATGTATCGAGGGACGTATCTAATCTCGGGGGTGTCGCTGTTGACATGCTGTCTTTCCGCCCCGGCGAGGTAGGCCCGTAATTGCCGCCAAAGGAGCGTTTCCCAGACGATGCGCCAATAGACTTTGGCGACCTGGCTGTATTATAAAGCCCCCCTGGCTGGTTGCGGGGATCGTCGACCGACGCGGGTGTACGCGGGGCGTCCGCAGATGGAAGTGTTGAGCTTGAGCTGAGCCTATTCAACGACCCAGTAGAAGCATAATATTCCGAACCTGAATACCCCGAGCCGTTCGTGTGTCCGCTTCCCCTGTTATGAAAGCTTGCCTTTAGTAAGGTTCTCGCTTTCCCGAGCCAGGGGAGCGGAGGAGTTTGTTCATACCGGTTCTGACGCTGAGCACCACTGTACCCACCACCGTACGTAGTGGACCTACTTTCGTCGGGCTCGTGGGAAGGAGTGAACTGATTGCCTGGATTGGCGGGCTCGTAACCAGCTTCTAACGCGTTCCCAGCGGATTTTCTTCTTGAGAACTTGGGGAATTTGATAGGCATATGAGATACCTTTCGTGCCGATCAACAGAAGGAATGCAGAAGGGGAAAAGTCTAAAGATGGTAGCCGCCGGGCCAACTTTGGCAGGAAAAAAAAAAAAAAAAAGAGAGAAGGTGCTAGGGGAGTGAACCGGTGACTTTCGGCCGACTGACTGAGAAAGTATCTATTTGTGAACGATCGTGGTGTACCGGTACTAATATGGGGCGAATGCGCGTGGCAGGAGGAGCCGAGTAGTCGGCAAACTGCTCTCGGATGCAGCGTCAACAGAACGGTACCAAACCGAGGGTATGGGAACCCTTAAGAGTGATGCTAGCTTCCGGGTCACTTTGCGAAGAGGACCTATTAAGTGGTGGCTGAAGGAGAGGGCAACGGAATTGATTGTGCACAAAAAAGCATCCGCGAGCCCTATGATTGCGATCAGGAGAACGAAGGTCTACTGTAGGATAGGTGCCAGCAGCCAAGAGGTGATTGTTACACAGAGTATGGAGTGAGCCGGAAGACAAGGAATAACTCAATGGACAGGGAGGGAAGCCGGTTCTTGGATCCTTTTTCTTGCCGATTCTATTCTCCACAACCCTCCGACTTGTCTGCGGCTATGAAGGGGAAAGAGGTAGGAGGGGCAGTGGTTGAACAAGTAAAATAGTAAATCGAGGGACGAAGTTGATTGT